CTCTCTCTCTCTCTCTCTCTCTCTCTCTCTCTCTCTCTCTCTCTCTCTCTCTCTCTCTCTTTTATGCTGTATAAGGCGTGGTTTGAACGTTTTACGATCGTGATAACGAACAACTCCAGTGCCATCTGACGTAAATCCTCTCATGGCCATTTACGATTTTCTACGATTTGACATTGAGGAAATTATTCTGTGATATTTTATTCCCCTCTTTTTTTTTTTTTTTTAATCGTTTATACCACATCTCTAATTATTTCTTATAATAATACAAGAAAAAAAAAATAAGAAACACGTTTGTTCCGTATTATTCTCATATATATGTATACATATAATTTATATAATCGTATGTGCATAAATAAATATAATATATAAAAATCATCGATTAAATTTATTTTATATGAAAATTTGTTTGAAAAAAAAAAAAAACAACTAATAATAATTAATTGTACACATATATTGAAATGATGTATAAAAATTATATAAATGGATTCATTTCTAATGCACACATACACATACATACATACATACATACATATAATAAATATATTAAGTTACTTAGCATGTAGACCAAGTTAGCACGATTTCTCGTGTGTATCATGACTCAAGACACGACAATCACGAAGCTTATTTGCTTTTCGTTCTCGATATTTCCCCGTCACGTTTTAACTCTTCGTGAGAAACTATGGTCCATGGTGATATTTTAAGGGTTTTGAATGCATGCACAAATTTTAACCATAATTGTAATCAAGAGAAAAAGATAAATTAACATATGTCGTATACATAAAGTATCATAGAAATTTTCAACAACTATTATTTATCAATCAATTTATCGTTAATCGCGAATTTGTTTAATTTACAAAATTCACATCACATATGTAACAGTAAATAAATATTTTAAAAGCCGATTGATCTTTGGATTTCCATTGAAATTCGATTGATTATTAAAAATTACTAATACTTACATTCTTTTAATGAATTATTAAATTAATTATAATATATAAATATATTACATAATAATTTGTTTTTATTTTCAATTGTTTAATCGAAAATTTATTATACCAACATTAATTGTAAATATGTGTCAATCGGATTTGCGATATAATTGTTACAAAACAGGTTACACTTTTTTCTTTTTTAATTTATTATTACATACAAGCTAAGTAAACTTAAATATGGTTGTTGATAAGAAACTTTATGGAAGACGTTAACAAAAAAAAAAAAAAAAAAAAAAAAAAGAAAAAAAAAAGAAATAATAATCGTGATAACGCAGTTATTGTATCACGATTAAATCGAGCGAAATTTGAAAGATTGTAAAGTAATTCAAATTTTGACGTAACGTATACAATTACACACACACAAACATATTTGTATTCTTACTGATTGTTAAATACGGATTCATTATTAGCATTGTAATCACACCTTCAAAAAAAGATAATATTTCATTTGTTATTTGCTTTCACAATTTAAACTCTCTCGATAAATGATAGTTAATGTATTCCGTATTATTTTATTTTTTTTTTTTTTTTCTATTGCAGCGAATAAAATTTCCAACTCTCGTGTAACTCTATAGTTTAATAGAAGTCTATTAAAAGAAAGATAGTGTTATCATTACCGTAATCTATAAGTGTTCAACACTTTAAAAACTACTTTCAAAACGATCGAACGCGTTCAGCGCTAAGTTAATTTTTTTATTTTATTTTTATTGTTTCCTTGTAGTTACAAATTTTCTTTTTTTTTTCTTTTTTTTTGTTAAACTTTATCATGCTATCGTCGTTAGACAATTTTTCTATCTTAAACATTATTATAGCTAAAACTATTTTGTGTTTTCTTTAATAATAATATATTTTTTTTTTACCTCGTACAATACATAATGATAAAAAACGTGGTAGGAAAAAAATGTGTTCGCTTGAAACGAAGAAAAATTCATTCTATTTTATTGTAATCGTATTATTTTAAACACACGTTAGATTTTACCCCTTTTTTTATTTCCTCATAATTGTATTTTTCCATTTCTTTTTTTTCTTTTTTTTATTTTCTTTCCTCGCGTAGTTACATTTATTTTTCGTAAAATCTAAAAATTGTGTTATAGTTAAGAAGAAATTTAGCGATTTGAAATATTTCGTATCGGTAAACATTAAAAGTAAGAATATATGATCAGCTGTTGATAGTGTACGTGAATGGTTAGGTGGGATGGGGTGGAGTGGGGGTTGAGGAAGGGGGAGGTGGGGTATCAGTTAATAAATGGGGTTATGAAACTTTGTGTTGAGCGTAGAAGCAAACGGTAAAAGGAAATATTACATTTAGTCGATACATTAAGGTTAAACGTATTATCTTAATGTATATAAATGATTTATGCGTTTATAAACGTGTGCGTGCGATGATATATATACATATATGTATGTGTAGGGTTAAGGAGAGAAAAAAAGGAGAAGAAGAATAAGAATAAGAATAAGATCGAAGGATTGAGAGAGAAAGAGAGAGAGAGAGAGTTATATGCGAGCATGAGCTTTGACTTGGTACGAAATTAAATTTTCTCATCCCATTTTGCTCATCGGTTATCGCGTCTGTGTTTGTTCAACGATAATATGGTTATCGAGTTTTAGATCTATCGAGATTTTAACGTGCCGCTAATGATCATTAACGAGAATTTGCCTATTCCATTTATCTCTTAGATATTCTTATTAAATATAATTTAATATTATTAAATACACACACCATATATCTATAATATTATATATCATATTTATTAATAAATGTGTGTTGTTGTGTGTGCGTTTGTATATATATATTTTTGTATTCGTTTGTATGCAGGCACCACATTCGTTTGTATATGTGTGTTTGATGAGGGGTAGAAGTGAAACATGTTTTGTCCAGATTATGCGAATTTTTGTTCCGTTAGTATACCATCTGGTACTTCAAAGAAATCTTTTCTTTCTTTTTTTTCTTCCTAATTTAATCATTCCAGGGAATAGTATTTTCAGAAAACATATGTGTTAGGATGTAAAAAGAAAAGGTTTTATTTAAATATAAAAATATTTGTTACTTTTTGTTAACCATAGAGATAACTAACCATTCAAAGTAAATATAATATAATATATTGAAAATAGCGCGTAATGTTTCTGCTCGTTAGCATTAAGTTAATTTATTTTTTATTCCTCTGATTTTTATTACTTTTTTTTTTTTTTTAGAAATAATTCAATATCATTAATTCATCCCAAGAGTATTAGAATAATCAATGTATATCACCATAAATTATATTAAAGTACATTAGTATAAATGATAATATATTTGCAAACGTTACAAACGAGACGTTAAAAAAAAAGAAAAAAAAAAAAGAAATAGAATAATTAACACCATGACCCCGATAAAATAGATTTCTAATGCTCGATTTCTAATCCCCTTATTATTAAATCGAATTAAATTAATTAATAGATGACAGTTAAAGGATATAGAAAATTGTTCGTGATTAGTATACGTAATTTATAACATTAGAAATGAATTAAACATAATAATAATAATAATAACGGATCAGTTGGGGAACAAATTGTAAAAAAAAAAAAACAAAAAAATGAATAATACCCACACACACGACTCGAATGAAATTAATTTCAAATGTTAATCGTTTCATGAATCTAATATAATATGGTGTTCATATAAAATAAAAGGTATAGCAAATGAATTTGGAATTGTAAACATCGTTGGATACCGATCCCGATAGTCGATTTGGGCTGACCCAGAGTGTGCAAATGAGAAAGAGAGAGAAAGAGAGAGAGAGAAAGAGAAACGAAGAAGAGTCGTCGGGGTCGTTGCATTTGACCCCACTTTGCGACATCCTATTTAGTCCACTTATGAATCATATTAACATACCGCGACCGAGAACGGTGCATGTAGAACGCCTGAGTTACGTGTCGACGGGAACCCATTAAAAAAAGACAAAAAGGGGTGTGTGTAAACTGATAGATCTTTTCTTTCTCTTTCTTTCTTTTCTTATTTTATTTTATTTATTTTTTTTTTATTTTCCTCACGTCACACTCTACTTCTTCTTCTTCTTCTTCTTTTCAAGAGTATGATGCTGCGATCATTTTAATGCATTAATGCATTTTGATGCATTATTTTTTTAATATATAAATTATTTATTTAAGATAATGCAACATTCGAGTTGAATTTTAATTTTTATCTCGTTTTTTAAGTGTGTCTGGTCTAACGATGATTACAAATTAATTTATTTTCCATGAAAAATTTCGTATAATATTACGCGTTTGGGAGTGGGAGTAGGGGGGAGGAAGGGAAAGAAGTATTAAACAAGCCAGATGTCCGGAATTCGCGTCTCGGATTCGTAATAATTCTGTGTAAAAATTCCGGATGCCACCCACTGCATTTCTTGTTAACTTTCAACGAGACTCATGGTGGTTTGTGACGTTTTGATGTTAACAGTCGTTTACTAAAGATGTTGTTGAAAAATTCTATTCCGATTCAATTTCAAATTCATTTTCATTTAAATATTCATTTATTATTTTTTTTTTTTTCAATTCGTATTTTTACATCAAATCTTGCGTTATTTTCTTGTTCTGATAAATAAATTATTTTTAAAAGATTTTAACAAAAAAAATATATATATATATATATATATCAGTTTTGAAATTGCATACAAGTATTATGACACTGAAGATTGTGAAGATTTTTTTGGAATTATTTATGGCTAATATACGAAGAAACTTTTGTTCCCCCTTTAGGGGAAATATTTAAAAGATTAACAAAAAAAAAATAATAATAAACTTACACGTGTCTGTATGAGAAAGAGAAAGAGAGAGAGAAGATTAAAAAGTGATGTGTATGGTGACCTTAACACACACGTGATGATCCGATGACGTCAAATACATCCGAGAAGAAGTCTTTCATGATATCACCGAGTATTTTTAAAGGTCTCTCGATACTTGCGCTTGCTTTACGCCCAATGTGTTTTTGCGATTTCCCTTTCTCTTCTTCTCCTCAACTCTTTTCTCTTTTTTCTTCTTATTTTATTTACCTGCTTTTTTCTTTTTTTATTTTTATTTCTTTTTTGCACACGTCGGAGATCAACGTTGTATTCGCTTATTTTACTTGTTTGTCAGGTAATAATAATAAGACTGCGACTGCTTTTATTAATGTTTTTTTTTTTTTATTTTTTTATTTTTTTTTTTTTTTCCATTCCCCCATGTGTCACTTGTCGACGATGATATTATTTTAGTTGATACGCGGAGGCACGAAGTAATGCAGAAGGTAAAAAGAAAAGAAAAGAAAAAGAAAAAAAAGATAATAAATCGATGTCGAGAAAGAAAGAACACGAGAGTGAGAGGAGGAGAGTGAGTGAGATAGGAAATAAAAAGTTATAAAAAGAGAGAGTTAGGAGTATCAATGGAGTCACTTGTTCAGATCATTTTATCTCTTTCTATCTTCCTTGCTTTTTTTTATATATATATATATATATATGTATAGATGTGTGTTTATATGTGTACTCTCTGAACACGATGACTCAAACTCATTCCTTTTATGCGAAAACTAGTTTGTCTCGTCTATTCTTCGATTAAATTCATTTATTAATTCTATTTAAAATAATTTCATATATTTACATTAACAAATAAATTTCATTAATAACTGTCCAAGAAATTCGTTGATTTTTATGCGGTATAAAAAAAAAAGATAAAACTTATTGATGATATTTATAATTTAATTAAGTTCTACTTCTTTTCATGTCCAAGTTCCCTATGAACCTATATCATCAAAAATTATCATTTTGGACGAGAGAAAATACTGAATAAATAAAACTTATTATTTATATATATATATATATATATAATTAAAATTACACACACACACACAGAAAAAAAAGAAAACGAAATTTATTATTTTGAGCTATGGTGGACAACATAATCGAGTATAATTTTTTTGGGAATAATCTTTTACATTTGTACAACCTTATACACATATAATCTTATATTAATATTATTTTTTCTTAATAAGAAAATGTGTGTATTATCGTTTTCTTTTTTTCCTTTCAGAAAAAATCGAATCAAAAAGGAAAGGAATCGGGAAAGTAAGATGAGAATAACGATGGGAGGGTGGGAGATAGGGGAAATTGTCGTATGAGTCATACACCTGTTCAAATGTAACATATACACACACATACTTACGTCCACACGTTTATATAGATACATACATATTTGTACACTTAGGAGAAGGTATATTGGTGTTGCCAAGAAAACACATTCTTGTTAATTTCTTTGAGGAAAAAAAATATATTTATTCGAATGTACCAGCAATCTTTCTCCTTCTTGGATTATTTCGTCGTGACGAAAATGTTCAATTTAAATTCCTGTCGTGTACCTTAAAACCACCGACTCTTCTTCTCGTAAAATTATCGTCCACGGAAATAAATAATGTGAAAATGTTGCTTTTGGGATTTTGCTAACACGTCGACATGAGATATAAATTTGAAATAAGAACGATCGTTCGTGTTTACGCGCATTAATCACACGCACACACACACACACACACAGAGATACACAGACACATGTCCTAGAATTCGTAATAAATATATCTTCCGTCTTAATTTTATTAACGAGAAAAATCGTGTCTTCAAATATAAAATAAATGAGAAGGGGTGAGGTGGGGTGGGGTGGGGTGTTAGGTGCAAAAGAATTTTATTTGAATTATTATGCGTAAAAATGTGTTTTTACGTGTAAAAAGTATAAGTGTTATCTTTTAATTAAACTAGAAGGAAAACTAATATTCCTGTTAGTCATTGTACATGGTACTACGTGTTTTCTTTAGGATTATTGTTAGATTGGATATACAAAAAAAACTAGTCACGCCAATATGTCTAGCCGGTGTAGAAAGTTTCGATGTATATAATATGGCAATGTATATAAAAGAGAGAATGTTTGAAAAGGAAGCGGAACTATGGGTCGTTACTTTGAAATGAGCATTCCAATCAGTTCTTTAACGTTCGACGAAGCTTTCACAATTATAAAATACTTTTAAGGTCTGCCTAGCGTATCATAGAACAACGAGATTTCAAGTATTATCTTTTAAATATCATTTTCAAAGAGATTTTTTTAAATTATATTATATAAATGATCATTGTATATGCATTGGCATTCCTTTTTTTTCTTCCCCTCACATCATTATTAAAAAAATAAATGAAATGAAAAGAAAAGAAATAAAAATTCATTCTATTAAAAGAGGAAAAATTAAAAAAAAAAAAAAAAAAAAGTAATTATTTATTTTATTATTGTAAGAGAAACTAAATACTTGCGCGCTCGCGTCAAAATACAAAAACCGCACAATAATACTTTAAGATCCGAGAGACCGCACCTCGACAAGAAAACCGCGATAAGGTGTATAAAGTATAGAAAACGAAGACAAGTTCCAACACTAGGAAGACCTTCACCTGTTTTCGATGGCCACGGTTCTTGTAAATGTGCCTTGGCAAGTGTCTTGTAATACCTTTTACTTCTTTTTCTTTTCTTCTCTTCTCTTCTCTTCTTATTCTCTTTTTATCTTTTCCCATATGGCAACCGGTAAAACGTCTAACGTGGCTCATTGTGACAATGAGTCACACATAAATACGTTCAAGCGTATTTTTACTACGCTCGGATTTAATTTGTAACGTATGCCATACTAGACACCATGCTACGTGTTAGGCATCTTAATGATAAATATAATAGTTGTCCCCCATCCCCTCCCATTGATTAACACGTTCCTCACTGTACCAGTTTTTTTGTTTTGTTTTTTTATTTTCCATTCAAGTCTTCGTTAAATATTTCATTCGATTTCTTCATTTGTTTACAGGGAAAACATTTTGCCAGTCTTGTAAGAAGAAGTGCAGCGGGGAGGTGCTAAGGGTACAAGACAAGTACTTTCACATAAGTTGTTTCAAATGCGCACAATGCAATGCCAGTTTAGCACAGGGTGGATTCTTTGCTCGGGAAGGTTCCTATTATTGTACCAAGGTAATTATTTTAAATAAATCTCTGTCGCGAGGAATATTATTATATAGTATTGTTTTGATTACGTGTTTAAATTGAACGAATTAATGATTCAATAAGATTGAAATGTAACATTATACAAAAATTCTTCTAATTTTATTTGTCGATGTGATAAACAGATTATTGTATTAATTCAATATATAAATACAATCATTTACAGTTATTGTTAAAAGCTTTAATTTCATTTGACATCTCAACAATTATTAATCAATGATTATCATCAATTGATGTAATTATAATATATTGTTTTATAGGATTATCGAGAACGTTGGGGTACAAAATGTGCCGGTTGCGGGGAATACGTGGAAGGTGACGTGGTAACAGCCGGAGAGAAACACGCATTTCATCCGAATTGTTTTCACTGTCAAAGATGCAGACAACCGTTGCTTGGGCAAGGAACGAAAGTATCTCTCGTACAAGGTAATTTCCGTTTAAAACGATCATCCCTCATTTCAAAAGAAATAAACGAAGATGAATAATTCGTGAAGGAATAGATAAAGCATCGTGTTACGTGTATGTTTGTATATGTATGTATGTGCATGCGTGCGTTTGAAACGAGTCATAAAATTAGCATAAGCAGTCGTTCTGTTAAAGGCAAATTACCGTTCAGATAAATCGTCGTTTCTCAGTGTTACAAGGTCAATACGTGCAAAGACTAGAAAGTATTACATATATGTACATATATATATATAAAAATATATGTGTGTTACGTATGAGAGAGATAAGTTCGTAGGCCGCAGTAGCTTGGATATGATGATTAGTCATACTTGGATTACCAAGAAAGTGCAATAATAATCAACTATCAGAATTGATAAACTATCGCGAGATTAAATGATATATATTTCTTATCAATTTAAAACAAACACTTAAAATTTATATTTTTAAATCGAAATAGAACGATCATTTATTTTCTATTGTATGTTGTTATAATTTGATTGTTCATATAATATATATGAAGAAAAGTTTCTTCAGTGATTCGTGTTAAACTATAATTCATATATTATATTATAAGAAATTTAGTATTAGTCGAATTAAGAACAGACAGACCACCGGATCTATACAATTTTCTTTTGATTGTTTCATAGGTCAAGCTTTATGTCATCGATGCGTTGGTATCCCTGTACGAGAAGCTTCAACACCAGTGGGGAATATTGGTGGTACTCGAGGATCATCTGGTGATGCCACCAGTGACCCTGGTGCTTGTGCTGGCTGCGGAAACCAATTGCGAGAAGGTCAAGCTTTGGTTGCTCTCGATCGTCAATGGCACGTTTGGTGTTTCAAATGTCACAGTTGTGACACCGTTCTACATGGCGAATATATGGGAAAGTTAGTCTATTTCCATCGACTTTATCTTTAACACGTTTGCGAATGGTAAAAATTCCAGGAAGCAAAACAAAAAGTGATGGTCATTTCATTTTCAAATTAATTGTGATATTGAAAATTTAATTAAACACATTTTTATAAAGGCAGTCAGATTATCATATATTAAAGAATCAGTTACAGGTAGAATAATTACAAAAACTTATGGTCATATAAAATAAAATTCTAAAAATAATTGGCATTCAAATTTGAATGCTATAGCAATCATGTCATTTTATTATACATCACAATGAAAATGAATGCTATAGCATTTTTTTTTTTTTTTTTTTTTTTTTTAATATTTATAAACTCTGGTACCATTAATAAATATTAAATAATTTAATTAATATACTTGAATACTTGCGATTTTACAATCAATCAGTATAAAAATATTTCAAACGATTGTATTAAAAACAATTATATCTATATATATATATTTTTTGTTTTTATTTTAAAGAGACGGCGTGCCTTACTGCGAGAAAGATTATCAGAAACAATTTGGGGTGAAGTGTGCTTATTGTAATCGTTACATAAGCGGCAAGGTACTCCAAGCTGGTGATAATCATCATTTTCATCCAACTTGTGCGCGTTGCACCAAATGCGGTGACCCATTTGGCGACGGTGAAGAAATGTATTTGCAAGGTGCAGCCATTTGGCATCCTCGTTGTGGTCCAGGACCAACTGGACCCAATGGTATTGTCAATGGACATGGGGAAGGTGCTCACACTCCCCAACACAGAGAATCCGAGAGAATTTCCAGTAGCGCCTCGGAAATGCAGGTAAATTCGGTGTCTGTAAGAAATTGATTTTTAACGTTTATATATATATTTTTTTTTTCTAATTAACGAGATATCATCCTGGTATTCTCAATTTCGTGATCTACGCGTCGTAAGAGTAGATCCCGATTAAAAATTAAATATATATATATGTGTGTATACATATATATGTAATAATCGGCAATTTACTTTACGAGATAATCGTAAACAATAATAATATACCGTAAGTAATATAATCACTTTTTTTTTTTAAATTAATTAATATCAAATGCGAGAATTATTCTGAGACACGGAAGAAACTCGTATTGAAAATGTACAGTGTATGTTATTGTACATTTGTATATTAAACAATTAATAATATTATTTTTCTATCTTGTAAATATAAATGCGTATTGTTATGGGTATTGCTAAATGTTTCTTTTTTTTTTTTTTTTTTCTTTTTAATTTAAATTTTAATTTTGATTTTTTATTCAGCTTAAGCTTTTTGTCTCTTTTATTTTATTTAATTTTATTTATTTTTCTTTTTTCGTTCTCTCTCTCTTTTAATTAATTATTATATTACATGTATATTATTTCGTTAAAACGAAAAGGCACGACGGTGTACGTACGAGTTATGTAAAAGCTTGATTGTCGCTAGTAATTTTTGTACTATTACGAATTTTGAAGTTTTTGTACGAGGAACATTTGAATATAGCAAAAGTGTTGCATACGTGTGTGAATTGTACAGGCTTAGGAAGAAAGACAAAAAAAATATAGAAAAAATAAGATTGGATAAACGTTGTTGTCACGCACATGAAAGATTGTATTTGGAATGCACGTTGCTGCATTGTATTCTAGTGCATCAGTGTTCATCGTTTTCAAAAAAAACCCATTTCGATGTATATTCCATCTCATTTTTGATTCTGTACAAACCATACAAGTAATAATTGTTTGTTCAAATTTTGAAAGAATTTTGTATACGCATCGAGATGCATAAAAGTAGAAAACAAAATGCTAGAAACGCAACCACCACCACCACCACCACCAACAACAACAACACCCTACAAACAAAAGCTTGATGTTTAATAATAGCTTATACAAGTTATGGTTATTCTCTTGAGAGAGATTAAACAAAGAAAAAAAACAAACAAAAAAAACCAATAATGTATCGCTTTGACATGCATCGTTCAATTGTTTTGTTGCCCTATTATTTACGCACGCTTCGATACCCTTATTATGAGGAAATATTTTTGTTTCTTTTTTACAAATTTTTATGATCATATACATTAATTTTTTATATATATCGTATTTTTTCTTTTTTTTCTTTTTTTTTTTTCGTTTACACTTTTTTACTTTAAATTAATTTTTTTCTTTTCCATTTAATTCTTTTTTATTTATTGCTTTCTTAATCGTTGTTTACTTTTTTCGCACGGTCATTGTGTATAGTTTTCATTGCGGTCACGCACGCCAAGCCTGAACGGATCACTATGCAGCCCTTACAGCAGTCTCAGTCGCAAGGTATGCACACGAACCATTTCAAAGGGTCTTCCTTTCAACAACAAAATCCTAATATTCTTCTTCTTCTTCTTCTTACCATTATTATTATTATTATCTTGATAAAAAATCATTTTGTTGTATGGATTTATTTTCAAAGGAATTCCGTGAATTCATATATACACTTTGTTTTTTATTTTCTATTAACTTGACACTTAAATTATGATAATGTTATTAAAAAAAAAAAAGAAAAAAAAAATTGATCAAAGATATTTTTGTTTTTAAACGAAAGTAAAATGACAATTTGTAATTGTGATGAAGTTTTTATTCATTGCCTCAGTATTATCCTGCACGAACCGGCAGTCCTGGATTGATCCTGAGAGAATACGGAAGAGGAGGACCCGAAGATGTTTCTAGGATTTACACTTATTCTTATTTGACTGAAACACCAAGTCAAGGATATCTGAGACGTCCGATACAACCCTACGACAAACCACCGACGAGCCCACATTTTCATAGACCCAGTTGTATGTTCAATTTTATCAACAATATATTTTATTAACTTAAAATCAATTTGACATAACATTTAAACAAATTCTACGATAATTATTTTGCATTGTATCAAATGAAACGTATATTAAATTATTTTCCATTAAGGAAAAAACGGTACGATGTTCATTGCTTTTAAATGTAACCCTTTCAGTGTCGAAAAAAAGATATAGAAACTTGTTTCTACGTTTTTCAACAAATATTTTCAAATACAATTAGCATTAATTTATTATTTTTCCATTGTCTCATAATATGTTGCTTTTTTTAATGAATTTTATAAATATCATTTTTAGTTTGATTTTTATGATCTTTTTCTCAAAACTTTTAAAATTTGTTGCTCGACACTAAAAGGGTTAATCATTATTATAATTATTATTGTTTCTATATATAAACACACAAATTGTTACAATTTAAAATTTGTAATCTTTCCCAATCCCAGAGTGTGTGGCGTGCTGGGTGGGTACTTGTATGATTTAAACAAACAATATTAATTATAATATATTTTCTATAACTATATATATATTATTGATATAATATATAAATTAGTTTTGTTTTAATCGGAATAGCATCTCGTTCGATAAGAAGTAGCGGAGGACGTAGTAGCAGATCAGGAATGAGAGCACTGGTCGATGCTCTGAGCGAAACTCGACCAAAGTCACCTGCTGCTGGAAGTCAGGTTGACAATGACGAACCAATCGAATTGGCACATTATCCGGATGCTATGAAACCTCCGCCTGGTGCACAACCACCAATAGAAAGAGATGATTTTCCAGCTCCACCTTATCCTTACACAGATCCTGAAAGACGTAGACGATGGTCAGATACTTACAAGGTAAATTACTGAATAAAATTTAAACCCATATATCTTAATTTTACTAATTTATTGGTTTTTTTTCTGTGTGTGTGTGTATGTGTAGGGGGTACCCGCATCGGATGACGAGGACGAGGTAGATAACAAGATGTATATCAAAGAAGTTGAACAAAAATTGAAGAAAGAACAGGACGAGTTGAGTAAGATTGACACTGGAATAGCTAAAGTATTCCTACAGGATCGTGAAAAGGATCGGGAAAATTTAAGACACAAAGCTGCCAACGTTGATCCAAGAAATGCTTCAAGAACACCATCAGCTGCAAGGGAACCAACTTATAGGCTACGATACGAGAGTCCTGTTGGAGCATGTAAGTTTTCTTTTAAAAGATATCATTCAAATGATTGTTATACAACGTTTAATCTTTTAAATGAGTCAATTTTAATTATAGAAATAACATACACATTTGTTTTATATTTTATTTATTATAATGTTTGAAGTATCATATATATATTTTTCATGTTGGAATCATTACGTGACCCCACACAAACGAACGGATGCATCGAATTGAAATTAATTTTTTATCATTCGTTCTTAATTGATGAAATTTTAAATAATTGTTTTGTGAAATAAAATTAGAGAGAGAGAGAGAGAGAGAAAGAGAGAGAGAGAGAGAGAGAAAAAGAAAGAAACAAATATTTTTTAATGCAGCACCATCGAGAAACATAGATCACGCACGACCGTGGGAAGACGACGATGGTTTTAGTTACAAATCGAGTGGGCCCAGTTACAACGGTGAGTAATTATGTTCGAAATTTTTCTTTTTTATATATATATTATATTGAAAATAAAGATATCATTTGTTCATAATTATATATATCATAAAAAAACATAAGCGAAAAATCATCTCTCATACATGTCCACACGTTCGCACATAAACACTAACATGATCACTCTCTTCTTACTGTTTTACAATAATTGTGTTTTACAAAATTCAATTCGCGCTTCGAGGAATTACGAGAAGTGGCTGTTGCAAAAAGAAACAAAAGGAACGACCATTTTTTAACGTTATTAATTTGTTTTTTTTTTTTTCAATGAATTAATTAATTCAAAAATTTGAGAAGAACCACCCTTATTATAAGTCTTGTAAGATTTTGCAAGACAAAATCTTTGCTTTAAGTGTTTTTTTTTTTTTTGTTTTTTAGGATTATCATAGAAATCGTATATTGTTGTTTGTATTTTTGTGAGAAATATTATTAATGAGGGGGTATGGGGGTAAAAGAAAAAGCAGTACGTGTAACTCGAGCAGGACTCGTTGCGTTGTTATTTTTTTTTCTTTCTTTCCCTTTTCTTTTTATTTATTTTATTTTTTTTTTTTTTTTATCTTGAGTGCACCGAACAATTAAAAAAAAAAAATATATATATATATATACCACACTCTCCTATGGACGACCCCGTTAAATCTAACAGGTGATGTATTCTGCCTAAGCATGTAACGCCGTCGACCTAATTCAATGTGCCTGCCTTGGCCTTAATTTTCTTTTTCTTTTTTTTTTTCTTCTTTTCTTCATAAAACATATTAATAAGAATAAACATATTTTCTTCTCTTTTATTATTTTATTAGCCAGCTATATTTTATACTTTGAAATGCTAACAACGTGTAAAAGGACGCCTTGCTCTAACTTTTCCTGCATGACACAGAGGGGTTAATGTTTAAAATAAATAAATAAAAAATATAAAGTATACAAGAGAGAAAAAGACAGATAGAGAATAACAATAATAATAATAATAATAATAATAATAATAATAATAATAATGATAATATGCTCATCATACACGGACACACATCATACTCTTCGATTTTTATTATCATTGCAATGAATTTTTTTTTTTTTTTTAACACGTTCCATGCCGTTCCTAATTTAGACAATTTTTCGTTCAGGCCGGGTGGGGCATATACGTCCCCTCACGCTTTACAATTGCATTATTTTGCTTCTGAGTAAAGTACAAGCAAGTATATGTCTTGCAATGATTAAAATAATACAAGAATCATAATTTTATTGTTTATAAACTTTTGAGACACGGAATTTTATAAAAATAAAAATACTTATGTTTCAAAGAAATTGTATAAAGTAATATGGCATAATATGAAATAATATGGCAAATAATTCAATTAAATTTTTTCTTATAATGTATTGCACATTTAAGTATATTAAAAAGATTGGGAAACTTTTAATTACTTACCGCCTTACTTGAGATAGTTATTAACGATAAGAAAAATTTCTTTTATTAATAATTATTTGTAAGAAACACATGGGCTGAACGAAAAACAAAATAAAGAATAGAATAAAATAGTTGACGGCACGGAACGTGTGCATTAATCATCCTTTCTATTGGCGCATGTTGTGTTCACACTTTTTTTACGCATCTTAACGCTTTTAAATCAATCTCTCATCGAATATATTATATTTCTTTCTTCTTATAACTTTTAAGCTTCGTTCGTATCTTTCGATGTTGAAAAGTTTAAGAAAAAAAAAAAAGAAAAAGAAAAGAACGAAAGGGGTGGGGGTGGCAGGAGTTTAAGCGGGATAATAGGGGTGAGGGGTGGTTTAATCATCTCGCAAAGTTTCACAAAATGCACTCTCTCTATCTCTCTACCTGTCGTCGTGTTAAAAAAAAAAAAAAAAACTACCACCGTGTCTCTATTTGTGTTTTTGTGTTTGTGTTGTGTTTGCGTGGGCGGGGCAGTTGGAAGGTCATCGGCGCGTTCCCCGGCTCNGGCAGGAGTTTAAGCGGGATAATAGGGGTGAGGGGTGGTTTAATCATCTCTGTTGCTTACTTAAACCGACCTCTCTCTAGTTAATGACCCGTCGACGTGTTAAAAAAAAAAAAAAAAAAAAAAAAAAAGGAAAAACTACCACCGTGTCTCTATTTGTGTTTTTGTGTTTGTGTTGTGTTTGCGTGGGCGGGGCAGTTGGAAGGTCATCGGCGCGTTCCCCGGCTCCCAGAAACTATCCACCCCTTGGTACTCAACGCGCCTTCACTCTTCCAAACGCCACTAGGCACTATCATTCGGTGAGTCCGAAAACTTTCCAATTTCGCTTGCCGTTGAATTCAAGTCAAAGAAATAATTATATATCATAAACAATTTCGAAACCATTTCACGCAACAACCCTTTTCTTATAACACATCTTTCGTTTTGTATTGCAAGATTTTTTAACCCCCGTTTTTAGTAAGGAACGCATTTTACGATTGCAATTTTTATGCAACTTTAAATAATTTTGATCGAATAAAAGCAAAAAAAAAAATATCTCTCGAGCTAAGAAAGGTTAAACAAATTTTGATGAATGCATATATTTATGCACTCAAAAGGGTTAACTAAATTAAACGACAATACATATGAGGGTTAATTAAATTCGTTTGTTTAATTAGGATCTTTCGAGTGTTGCCCAAAATGATTTTCTTACAAATATATTTTTAGAATTAAAATTTCTGTTATAAGAGGGTTGGTTGTTACTGTTGTTATTATATTTTTACCCCAGTTTCGATAATAAAATTGTTAGAGTAGTAGAAAAAGAAAAAAGATAGCGAAAAAAAAAACGCATTCCTTTTTTTTTTTTTCCTTTTTTTTCTTCTTATTTTTCTCTTTTTTCTTTTCAAATAAATGTTACAAATACTTTGACTTGTTTTCACGGAAGGCCCGCTTTGTTTTTTAAGCTTAACGAAGAGACGACCGATTTGCAAAAAAAAAAATAACAGAGAAACATACAGAATGGTAAATTGCAACAATTAAAAACAAAAAAAAAATGGTGGCGGCTTCTTTGAGATTTTCGATCGTTTTCGTAGATTTTCTTTTTTTTTTTTTTTTTTTGGGTTTTTGGTTTTATTTCAATTGACAATTAATCAATCGTACGATTGATCATAGACGAGATGTTTGTTGTCAAGGAAAAAAAGTAAGCCATAACAACATCTTCTTTTTCATGGAAAATTAAAGGTAGGGGCTTATTTCTATATTTTTTTTTTTTTTTATTTTATTTTTATCCTTAACCATGGAACCGTTGTATAATACCCGTTTCAATAATTCGTTTTTTTTTTTTTGGTTTTGTTGGTTAAAAACGAGAGTGACGTACTTGTTATACTTACTACAATATTTTACGTAGGTATTTATAAATAATTATATTGTGCATGATGTAACTAATCAGGTGTGCTCTCTATCTCGAACGTTAATTGCATTTTTCTTTTGGGTTCTGTTTTTTTTATCTCGTGCGTGGGACGAGGATAACATAAACATCGTTGTTAACAAAATTATAATAATAATAATAGTAATAATTATAATTAGAAAACATCGTTCGATACTCGTGTCATATTTGTGATATCATCGTTGGTGTATGCTTCGTAGTTAAAAAATCGCAATGTTTAAACAAAGAAGATAAAAATCGTAATTCGTGGTAAAATGGCAAAATAATTAATTGAATTTGTAAATTTGTTATCCGTAGAAATAATATTATTTATTAGATTTAATGTGGGAATAATAATCATGATACGTTTGGTTTGTATTAAAAATAGTATAGTTTTCTCGTCCTGTTCGCGTTATACATACACCTGTTTGGGTTACACCATGATATTAGGATTATTTAATATTTTTTAGAGAGTTAATACACATATCTATAAAATAAATACATAATATATTTACATTTGATAATATCTAAATATTTATTATAGTAATATATTAAATATATTTTGTGAAATATTTTATTATTAATCAGAAATATCATAAAAAAAAGAAAGAGGTATAAAATGTAAAATAATTTCGATATTTAGAATTATCAATATATTACTATAATGATAAATATATTTATAGATATATGTAAAACAAAGAAAAAAAATAGAAAGACAAAAAAAGGAATTGATAATTGTGATACTTAGGCGAACGTTGGGCATTCGTATGGGAATGAAAGAGTAACTTTGAACCTTGTTACCCATCCTATAATCGAGAAATAATTGTAGTAATAAAAGTATAAATTGACATTTGAAACCAGTTGTGAGCTCTCTTCGGCACATCCCGAAGCCAGGGTACGGTCTGGCACCGCGAAGTCACACCTTCTCCTCGACTGGCGGTTCTGTATCTGCTCTCCCTGTAAGTCATGCACCGCGTGTTTAAACAAAAAAAATCGATCAGACAAGTTGATCCGAATTTCAAACAAAAGAAAACAAAAGAAAAGACAAATTTAAGAAGAACAATCAAAAATATCTAATAACATCCGCGTTATTGTTATTTTTATTGTTCTTGTTCTTGTTCTTCTTCTTCTTCTTCTTCATACGTTGTTGTGTGATGTAATAAATTTTTATTCGAGAAGAAAGAAGATTTTTAAAAAAAGAAAAAAAAAAAGAACAAAGTTTTTGCAAAGAGAGTAATAAAAGATTTGACGTTTTTAACCATGAAAATCAGCATCCTCGGCCTGTGCATATCCCCTAATTAAGATAACGCTTTTCTTTCTCGTCTAGGGTGATTATTCGTTCAGTGGGATGGGGGACAAGACGCACAGCACTGATTTCTCATCCGGCAAATCAGATAGTGAGTAAAATATTAGAATGACTGATCGGAAATAATGAATGATTCATTTATTAATTAATGAATATATGTGAATGAATGAATGAATGAATGAATGAACGAGGATAGAAAGACAAAGAAAATAAATTACACGGTTATTGAAACTTTTCGCATTATTTTCTTTAAAATAATCATTTTTTGATTAATGCCATCACGTTGACGTCTTTAACGATTTTATTTGACAAATGTTGGACGTCAAAGTGTTAATTAAATAATTAATTTAGTTTCTTTTTTTTCTCTTTTTGTTTTTCTTATTTAATTTTTAATTGTGCGAGGATACAAACACTCGGTTAATAATAACCCGAGTGTTTTCTTGCAGATATTATCTTTTTTTTTTTTTTTTTACCATTAATTAGATCTTTCAAATTGCTTTATTATCATATCAAATGCATGCTTTACTAATCCCCCCCCCCCCTCATTTTCCTGCGAGCTATATCGTACACTGTCGGCTATCATCATCACACTTGGTCGTAGGGATTTTTTTGTTGTGTTTTCTTCTAAAACTTATCTCGTCTCGTACTTAAAAAAGTTCCTATAATTTTATGTTTATTTTCTTTCCCAAATTTTATTCTATTAATCAAATTTCCAAATATTATTTTTCGGGGTTTCGTAATACGAACCACGATTTGTGCTTTTAGACGATAGGACAATTTAACATAAAAAAAAAGAAAAGAATAGATCAAATTCAAAAAATTGACGAGTTAAAAGAAAATAATTTACGTATATAAAAAAACACATACATATACACACACATATATATATATATAAATATATTATACCTGCATCGCTTACGATTGATTTTATTTTATTTCATATTATTATTTTCTATTTTTGCGTAGAAATTAATAGACAATAATTATGCGAATTAAACAACAATAAAAATGTTAACACACTTATATAAGATTGAGTTAAATAAATTTAGAATAATATTCGTAGCAATCATGTTCTTCCAAAATTCTTCTACGCTTGGCTGTAATAAAATCAAACAAAGTATTGTATTATTTGTAAATTTTTATTTTTTATTTTTTCTCTTTCTCTCTCTCTCTCTCTCTCTCTCTTTCTTTTTTTCCTTCTCTTTCTCTCTCATCTTTAACTTTGTATAAAAGAAAAAAAAAAAAAAAAAAAAGAAATAAATGTTAGTCGAGCGAGGAGATGAAAACGAGGAACATCGTTGACGAAAAGTTATTAAACGTAACAAAAAATATGGTTTGTGCAATTATGGTTTTTGACATGGTTTTTCTTTCCCACTTTTTTTTTCTTTTTTCTTCCCAATTTTAGTATCGACAGGCAGCATCACGGATGTGGATCGACGGGCATTGGTATGTACCACAGCCCCATACTACTCCCGGCGAATTAGCATGGTTTGTAGCTTATTATTGCAACCCTTTTTTCTTTTCACATATTTTTTTTTTTTCTTTTTTTTTTCCGACGCGACACACCATCATCGTGCATGTTTTTTTATTTTGTTTGATAATTTGGAACGATAAACGATGATTAAAAAACAAACAAAAAAAAAATAAAGATGAGATGAGTTATGATCACATTATGAATATTTGAAATATATTTTGCGAGATTGTTGTTGTATGTATGTATTTAATTCAGCAAAAAAAAAAAAGAAATGTTTTATTTATTGTTTAAAACAATAATAATTTACGGTAGAGAGAAAACGCGTTGCACATGTATGATATTGTTGTACATAGTTTTTTTATAAATATTTATAAATATAAATTATTGATGTATATTATTTTTTGTCTAGCGTGCATGAGTTATATATTATAATAGCAGCTGTACATTTCGCTGACAATATTTTATCTTTCATCTTACAAATGGAATTTTATTATTATTATTATTATTATTATACTTCGATATTGCATTTTGATTCTTGTTTTTTTTTCTTTCTTTCTTTCTTTCTTTCTTTTAATTGTTAAAGAATCTTGGGCTAGTGCGATTGCAAATGATACACGATAGTTTGTTATGTTTTATTTTTTCTTGTGTGTTCGATGCTCGAATATGGTTTTTTTTTTTTATTCTTCTTCTTCTTCTTTTTATA